ATTATCCATCTATATCTCTTATGCTTAATCGGAGGAATCGTAATATTTATTTTCATTGCAAGGATGGAATCTTCCTGCCATTATTTAGTTGCGACGCTAAAACGTCGGTCTTCTTCAAGAAAATCCTCACCAAGATGAGAATGACTTCAAGATCACACCGGAGGAGAGACAGAAAACGATTACTTTAGAGAGAAATTTAGGATGATCGACGGATGTGATGTGAACTCCCCATACTGATTTCAAGGTCTAAGCTCTTCCCAAGTATAAAACCATCAAATCGCACTATTAGCAGTAAAAAAAATATGTCACAATTCCATTAATACAGCTAGACAGCCAGATGACGTTGATAAAAGTTTTAGTATCATTTTTATCGATCAATTTAACTTCTAAAATAATAGGATAGCGGTAATACATTTCCGACTAATCATATCATCTAGATAGATATCAACAATCTTATCAAAAACAAATATAATTATCTGTATGGAGTCGGTTTTCAAACTTACATTATCTATTGCTCAATACGGCCAAACTTCAATGTTTATGCCATTATAAATAGAAATGCTTCCAAACAAACCCATATTATCTGAGAAACCGGCCCTATTTTACATTGATATTTAACTTGATGCAATTTTAGACTGCTAAGTAGGTAGTGTATTTCCTCTTATTAAAACCCCGAGCGGTGGGAATCCCGCTCGTGCCAAACGCAATCGGATAAAACGTCGAACACACACATACACACAGAGACACACACACAGTTATTTTCCGTCTATTGCCTACATACAAAGAGGAGGACGGACGAGGGGTATGAAAGAAAACTTACCTATTCCACAAAGTACTAACTCATTATCGCAAAACAAAAACACGTTGCGACCTGAATCTAATCCATAGAGAAATGTTTCACACACACAACCAAACAGATTTATTATCGGTTCTTTTAAATACACTCACACATGTACAGCTTTTAGCGGATTTCCGATGAAACGAGCGTATGACGCGTCGGGCTTGTACGATTTGTACGCACACACTGACAGTTTTACGATGAGTGCCTCGCCTCAATAAAAGACAGGGTCAACGTCACAATCCCACATTCCACTGCTAACGCTCAGAGTGATACCACGTTTGTTTCGCTCGCAAACCGGTGAAATTATTGTGACAAAAGTTACGCAACTTGTTGGATTGCATTGCTATTGAAGTGTGAACTGTTCATTGACAACTCTATTGGATTTGCCGACATCATCGTGTCTAGTGCAAGTGAATTTGTGAAAATTCCACCTCAACAGTGCAAAGTGTCGAACGTTTGTGATAATTATACCATTAGAAGTATTAATTTGAGAAGCAACATGTACAAGGATTCAGTTGTTCCCGTCAAAGCGGAAACCTTCAGCGGGATTGCCGCTAAAAGGTGAATATTTATTAGCTAATTTAGAAAAAAAAACAAAAGTTAGAAGTAATGAGAAAAGGTTCCAACTGCATGTTTCAACAGGTTTGAACCTTATATAGTTAGAAGTTGCTGTAATTGAAACCAGTCACAAATATAAATTAAAATATCATAGTGATGAAACTTTGAATGTGGAAAACAAACTTTATTCTAGGGTATTTGTTTTTATGAATTTATAACAAAATTGAAAAATAGTATCTCTTCGTATTTGTTAGTTATTATTTGACCATTGCACAATATTAATAAATAATGTGAAATTGGCGACAAACATGCAAAAAAACTCAAAACTGGGAAATTCAGAAAAGATTGGAAAAGTGTTATTACTTTGAAAGTTACTTAAAGAAATAAAATACTTAAAGGGAGAAGCGAATACAACTTGACAAAAAACTTTCTGTTTTGACTAAATCCTCAGTAGGATAGTAGTGAGTTATAACACCGCCTGTCAAGCGAAAGAACAGAGTTAGATTTCCAGCCGGAAATTCTTTTTTCATCTATTTTCACTTTCAATACTTTATCGAATTTCTAGCTATCTTCATATTTATTGCTGGTGAAGATTTACGTTGCTAATTATGTCTTATTTCCATTGTTGCAGCCCTATCGGCCAATGCATCAAAACGGTGCTACTCAGGGCATTCATCGAGAAGAGGCTAACCATTGGCCTCTTGCCGGCCATTCAGTACCTCTCCCAGAACAGCGATGGAGCGCTGTTCTGCCTAACAGCAGAAGCGCCACCTGGAGACAGCGCAACGCACATGCAAGAAGTGCTGCTGCAAGCCTTCTGTGTGGAGAACGGCATTTACGTCATCAAAGTGGACTCAGACACTAAGCTGAAGAAGCTTTTGGGCTGCGATATCCCAAAGTTGGATTTTAGCTGCGTCTTGGTCCACTATCCCTACACAGACCCCTTCAGCGACAGCCAAGAAATCGACCTGTCCATTTTAACAGAATCTGAGAGAGATTTGGTCAACCATTGCGAATCGAACTGGGGCTATTCCCAGATGCCAGTCATCAAATTGCCAGAGAAGTGATTCCAACGAAGACAATTTATTGTATTGAGAAAAAAAATATACCGACCTCTCGTTTGGGTCGAGAAAGCCAATCTTGGCTTTATCATTTTTACCTCGGCATTTAACGCCATCTAGTTTCGTAGCGTGAACTAAATTCATGCTTGCCCGAAGGGCTTTGATTTGTGGTTGGAGTTGATTTCATGGGAGTTTTGTGGGAAATTTGTACTGTATTCTAATTATACTGTAAACACTTAACTCATATTGTATTGTATACTTACATTTGTTGAATTTGGTTGAACATTTATAGAAGGAATAGATTTATATAATAAAATCTACATTTGTAAATGTTATTTCCTACTATTGAATTCTGATATCATCTATTAGAAATAATTGTAAAATTGTTAGTTTCTGTGACTTAAGAATGTTAAATAGGTATTTGAATTGGATATTGACGATAATCCCATTGTTTTAATTCTTCTATCAAAGGAAATTATGAAAGTTAGACGATATTTTATATTTTTATAAGACCTAAACTATAACAACATTACTGGAACCAAAAACATGAATAAAAGATGTGAAGTATACTTTTACGTTTTATTTAACCCTTCGCGTAATGAAAAATCAGATATTGTAGTAACTGTGACTGGTAACATGCATGATAGAATTGAATTGAAAATAAAATAACTAAAAATCAGACAATGAAAAAAGAAGTACAGAAAATACTATTATTTCATTATTAAAGAAACTACTTAGATTTAATTAACATGAGCAATACAACCCACAGTTAAAATAACGCAAGTGAGGGGCACTGTAGAGTAACGAATAGAAATAAGCAAATAGTAACTACATTTTTATAAACAATCCGATATTCGGTAAGATTAAGAAAACCTACATTTAAATAAAGGCACATAATAAAAAATAATAAATGTAGTTCAATAAGCGTACATTGTGTACTTTCCTACTACATATCTAATTAACAGAACTGAGTTGCCTAAAAAAAAGAATAACAAAGATAAGATATAGAAAAAAGTAACAAGTACAAAAAGTGGCAAGTCAGGTGTGTTTATTATCGACAATATGTTTTCAAACCGTTTACCTTGATCCAATTTATTCCCAATATGTATCTCTTAAATCAAATAAGTAAACTTTCTATTAAATCTTGATGTAGTGAATGAAGTAAAGGGTTTCTGCAGTCTGGAGTACGTTAGCCATCTTGTGGGTATGGTTGAGATATGAATATTTTATCAATGGGGAATTAAGCTTGGATCGCTGACACACACAAATATTCAAAATATTTGACTTTGAATCATGGCCCAAGGCAGTCAGATTCTTATCGCTATTGGTACTCAGAAGGAACACGAGACTATTGATATTAAAATCTCCTGTTATCCGCCTACCACAACAAGAGATTTGACCTCACAACAGGGGCTGACGAACCACCAACAAGAGGCTTGATATTATAAGGGGTTGCTCAACTTTTCGAATCACCTTGAATACCATCGTGAAACGATCGTGAGCGACTTCGTTTCGTTCCAATATTAATCTCGATTATTTAGAAAGGCTGGGAAAGAATAAAAAACAACACTGAAAAAATTTTCAGTGTGATGATTTATAAAATTCAACTACCTACCTACTTACATAAATGCAAACGCTTTGACATATTGGTAGATGTCTGAAATCCTGGAATTAAAATAAAAGAAACGAACATCATTATAATAATATGGATATTTCCTGAAAAATCATATGAAATACTTATGTGATCATATGTATTTCGTATGATTTCTAAGATAGAAAAGCAACTAACTCAAAAGCCATTCCTAAATTATTTTGTTACCTATGTAGGTAACAAGTTTTAGCAATACTTGTGTTACGACAGCGCCATCTAGTCACTCTAGGTGAATCTAGATGGCTTTCAAACTTCGCATTATGTGTTCAGGTTTGGACACTTGGATATATATCATCCGAGCAGTACCTTAAATACTTAATTGTGTTTCATTTAGGCACCCATTTTACAACTCGACTGTCTCGTCTCACCCACTGTCCTTAGATAGTATTTCTATTCGACGCTAGATGACGTTCAGAGCAAAATTGTGCTTGTAAGCAATAACATTTTGCATTATGGCAAAAGCTAATTATTTAATTATAATTAGATACCTATGTTAAATCTTATTGAATGTAATCAGTAAACAATTGAACTTATCTTAGGCATATGGTGGAATTCACATTATAATAATTAGGTACCTACGCCAAAAAAACTAATCAATGGTGTCGATTCTGGCACGATTCTCTAAATCTAAACTTAAATTTGACAACAGTGTATCCTTGTCATTCTCTATACAGAATGATGATCTATCTGATGTTAAATTTAATTTAAGTTTAGGGAATCACGCCTGAATCGACACCAATATCGATGTGATAAAAGTTAACAGCGCCTCTGGTGCCACCTTTACATTATAACAACTTTAAATATTAGTTTCTCTAAAAAAGCTGCATTGGTAAAAGTGGGACAACATTGATCAACACTTCCAATTTTAATTAGAAGTATATTTGAGTTTGGTAAATGCAAAGCAAATTATAAAAAACTCCTATGCCAATCTTCAAGAACAAATGCGGCACCTTTCTCTGCGATCATAATTGTAGGAGCATTCGTGTTGCCCCTGGGAATAATTGGCATAATAGATGCGTCAATAACTCTAAGCCCATTAATACCATACACTCTTAATCTCGGGTCAACCACAGCCTTCCTATCTGTTTCAGGGCCCATTTTGCAAGTTCCCACAGGATGATAGGTCGAAGAAGTGTAAGACTGCGCCACACATATTGTATAATCATCAGATCCCCATTTTAGATGCTTACAAGCATCCAAAGACTGCCTTACAAAATATGCTCCTCTAGACCTAAACGCATGAGTATTTTCTAATGACAAGAGGAATCTTGCTCCTCTCACGAGAGGAAGTAAGTCTTCCAAATCGCCGAAGTAGTTCGCGTGTACTCGGGGATTTCCGTAGGGATTAGATGAGTTCAGTAATAGTTTCCCTCTACTTTTAGGAACTAAATTCTCCGTTCGAGGTATGATACCGTTGTAAAACGCATTAGGAAGTATCGGTATGGAATCAGCAATGGTAGGTTCCTTTACAAATTCTTCCCAGATGGTGATGTCCATTTGGAATTTAACATCTGGTTCTTTTAAATGTGGTTCGGACTTTAGAAAAGATATAGAATTGACTGGACCATTGGCCGAGAGAGGTCCGTTCTTTATTTCATCATATTTGAAAGCTTGCACTGTACCTAAAATCTGTCTCTGACTTGCAAGCGTCGCCGTTCTATTAGAAAGCGCAATAACATATCCGTTGAAAGTAGGATGGTCATGCAAATTTTCACCAACAGCTAAATCTTGCACTAAGTCGATGTGCAAATTGTGTAAGTGGTCGCTGGGACCAATACCTGAAAGCATCAACAGCTTTGGACTGTTTAAAGAACCTGCACTAATAATGACCTCTTTCCTAGCATGAGCTTTATATATCTTTCCGTTTCTTATGAATTGCACACCATAAGCATTTTTATCCTCGTCTATAAGTATTTTAATAACCTCAGAGTTAGGTTTAACTGTAAGGTTTTTTCTTCTATATCTGATTGGTTGTATGAAAGCGTTATTTGTTGATACCCTCATTCCATTTTCGACAGTAGACTGGGCCTGATTGGTGCCAACTTGTTGGGCGCCATTGTAGTCTACTAACGGTAAACCACCTTCGTTAAAAGCTTCGGTTAACATTATGGCAGGGTCATCTATATAAGGGTATCTTGATATAGATAGTTCACCGTCTGCACCGTGATATGTCCTGTCCATGCCCCCGTAGTCCAAATTGCGTTCGGATTTCTTGAAGAATGGTAGAACCTAGAAGTAATTAACATACTCAAAGCATGAACAACTATTAAATAACAACAACGATTCAATGTGAATGATTATTTCACAACATGAGCAGATATGAAGCAGATTTAATTAGATTTAGACATAAAATAAGAACTGTTGATAAATTCTTTGTCACCATTAGATACTTACCTCTTCATAACTCCACCCAGGGTTGCCCAGGGCAGCCCATCCGTCGTAATCGGCCCTATTTCCTCGTATGTATGACATGGAGTTGATGGAACTGCTACCTCCCATGACTTTACCACTAAAACAAATGTAAATTGATTCATTAATTTAAAAAATCGCGGTCGCTAAAGCGACCAACTTCATGCTGTTAAAATTTTGTGTTACAGTGATGCGCGCGCATCTTAAAATTTCACTCTCATCATTTTTTCATAACGCGCCTAAAGAAGTATAACTTCAAAAAAATACTATAAACTACAACTAGTTATAGTCATTAGAGGTACAGTGCGATGTTCTATTTACAACTTACGTGTTAATAACACGTAATCAGCTGATTCCGCTCTAACAATCTTCAAATTATTATCTTCATAAGTGTTTAATTAAGATTATAATCCAAATAAAACTTTGTAGTTTATTAGTCGCTCTTTATCAATAATTGTTAGCAAAAAAAATATTAAAATCTATCGATACTTGGTATAGCAAATTAATTATGTCCGGAATTTAGAAACGTTTCGCTACTTTGTGATCATATTGTATACAACATTTATAGCAGAATCTTGTTGAACAATAATATAGTCTCAATATCGATTAACCTATTGATTGTTTCGATAAATCTATAATATTGCTGCTCAGGGCGGAACGCACTAAGGCCCGTATTACAGAATGACAACTACGTGTTGATCTTTACTTGAGTACAGTTAGAAAGGGATGTCGCTATGTGCTATATATAGAGACATCCCTATCTATCTATGCTCAAGACTAGATTCATTACTGAGAATCCTTCTATAATACGGGCCTAAAACTCTACGACAAAAAATCTACAGACTGATTAAAACTAATTGTTTATCTATCGATACATTTGCAAAACCTATCGATATTGGGAATATTTTCTAAATAAATTCTTTTGTTTTACACGGTGTAGACTGTGACAACAGTTACCCGGGCAACTCGCAGCGTTGTCCTGGTCGTGCGAGACAGCTTTTCCCGTTCGGCTCCGTGGAGAAACTCCAGTCGATGTTGGAGCCCCCCAGGGTCGGACGCAGAGCTGGGATCAGGGTCACATCTGGCTGTTCAGGACCCGCTTCCAGAAGTAGCACCTAAGTACAGAAATTTGAATAACACTGTTTTAAGCGCTCTTTTTTAACTTCCAATGTATGTAGGTGTTATGTGTGGGTCTTATTTTGGAACTCAATTCTAAAGTAATCAACAAATTGAAATAAAATATGCATACCTAGACCCCACAGATGTTAAAATCAGCGTTATTGATTTATCACTGTGAAAGTGTTTTCTTTTTGCCCAACTACAAACAAAATTACCTTACCTTTTTTACATTACCTTAATCCTATCTCCTAATCGCTTGCCAACTTTAAAAGATTACGCGCAAACCTATGTTCGTAGGTTCGTAAATTTCTCACCTTCCAATCTTCAATAGCAGACAATCTATTAGCCAGAACACACCCCGCTGCGCCTGCACCAATCACTATAAAATCATATTCTTCAGGATTTATCTTCTCATATCCATTATTCCAGTTAAACAAATTCCTGTCAACACCAACGTCATAACCATTTTTGTCCCTGTAACCGAATCTCTCTTGAATTCTTCTATCTTCTGAGTCTCCATATAAATGAACCAGTAAATTCAAGAAGATATAACCAAAATTGGAGCACGCTGTGATTTGCGTATACGCAGGGCACACTTGAGTTAGATTTACAGGTTGCCAATACATTTTTACGGCTGAAAAATTAATCACAAATGATTTGTAGGGTTTCCAGGGTGAACATCAATATAAGTAATAGATATCCATTATTTATAATATCTACAGGTATACTTATCGGATATAATATCGATCATTTTAGTATATTTCTATTTAGTACTTCTACGTTAATGTATTTCACAAAAATTACAATGGAATTCTGCCTAGACTGAATAAATGATTTTGAGTTTGAGCACTCACTTCTGCAACTAACCCCAACGGCTCTTTATGGAGTACTGACTGAAAGAACCAACGAACGTTACATTTTAATTATTAAAGGCACGAACTTGCAAAAAATTACTCAGTTCCTCCGCTTACATCAGTAATATTAACTACCAAAAACATTCTGTAAAAAACTAGCCTAGTCTCGATGGAGCTGCTTGTTTATCTCTAAAAAGTAATTAAATCTAGACAGTCTCGTGCCAAGTCTAAGGTTCCTTACTGCGATTTCTTTATTATTATAGTTAATGTTGTGTGACTTGGCCGTTGAAGGGTACACAAGGGTACAAAACCAGGTGCCACATGACACCATTTATTCTGTACCAAATTTCAGCTCTCTCAGTTTATGGGAAGTATTAGTTCTATTCTGATGATCATGAGTGAGTGAGTGTCGTAAATCCGAAACTTTGCTTTCGCTTAACTTCTGAACTAAATGACCTACAGACTTGAAATTTTAGATTTTAGGTATGTTATTATAGCTTACTGGATGACGAAAATTTCAGCGTTCTGGTCTTATCCAGAGGTTCTCAAATAGGGGCCTGAAAATGCGGCGAAATGGTTCCAGTAAAGGATGGTACGGCAGTGTTTGCTTCACGCTCGACTTGGCGGGGGCACTCCCGTGCCCCCTGACTCTGGTAATGTTGTGTTTTTGGAGGATACCGAACTGTCTGTATCATGTTCTAATTGCTTCGAAAAGATTCAGAGGCCCACGCACGAATTTTTCACAGCTCCGTAACATAACTTCATCGTTAAATCTTGTTTAGTTTTCATAAAAATTTGAACGATGCGATATGTTTAGGGTTGCCAGATGCTCGCCTGTCAATTTCTGGACATTTGCACCCCCCACCCCCCTAAAAAAATAAAGCATCAAATCAAACCCCCCATCACCCCCCAGAATTAAACAATTAAGCAGGTGTCATTCGTTATTAGTTTATTTTGTTACGAAACTAGCACATTATCGGAACCCCAGACAATAAGTGCTGATTACTGGACACGGGACAGCACGAAAAATTCGGGGACAATCCCGGAAATCCCGGCCACATGGCAACCCCAGATACGTTACGCAAAAATTCATTCTTGGGCCTCAAGAGATATTCGTTTAGCACTTTGTTTAAGCGCAATCACGACACTCTTAGTCAAATTTCTGACTGGAGCTGAGTAAACCTAGTATGTTTCTATGCCGGGAAAACAAAGGCTCAGACCCGTCTTTCCCAGTGGGCACTTTGAGCAAGTGCCCAGGGCCCCGCGATCTATAGGGGCCCCTCGTCAGATCAAATACAAAGTCCCTAGTTCCTGTTAAATCACAAAACGGAAATCATAGGGGCCCCATTATCCTAATATGCCTAGGGCCTCCAATAGGTCAAAGACGGCACTGCAAAGGCTTGTCCATTTTTAAGCCAAACGGAGCCTTTTCCAGCTTGCCCGGCTTTCAGTGTTGTATCCCTATCAATTTCAAACAAAACATCTCCTTTATTACCAACACTTAAACTTTTGCGCCCTTATCAATAAACAAAGAATACGTTTGGATTAGTTACTCCATGTTTTGTCTCTGTTCATTGAATTACAAAAGGCATTTAACACGGCGTAACTAGTCTAAGCTTATTCCTCGTTTAGTAATAAGGGGGTGGGAGTTAGATTGCGTCCATAGCTGAAACTGCAATTAAGACACTTGGCATCTTCTCAAAGGTATCTGGCCGGTCAGGGGTCAAACTCCTCGCGGAATTGCTATGGCTATCGCTAAAGCTTACGATTTAATTTTGTTATATCTGACCGCCGCCGTGCCGAAGGTTTTCAAATACCTTACCCTCATTAGTTTTTATATTGCTGTTACCAATACAAAAGAAAAATAATTCAGCATTTGGAAATTATTTTAAAATAATACTAGTTGTAATTTTAACATGAGCTATTTGAGCCATTTGAACTGCTTATACTGCTTATACTGCTTATACCTTCTCTTTACCCAGTCACATAAAAGTACTTTTAAAGTAAAAACTACTATTGATACACTAACTAAACTTACTCAACACAAAGAAGGATAATGTACGTTTAAATCAAGGTACCATTTTAAACATTTGAACAAGTAGTTCCGTTTCTATGATTTTTTAAAACTTCAAAACGCGATATCTCAAAACACTGTTTTTGAAGATAATACCCTTTTGTTTGTGACGTGCGACATGTTGATCGGTCCAGCAGATTCCGAGCAAATCACAATAAAAACTCACACCAATTAGCCTAACCCCAAAGTAAGCATTTTTTTTTTTTGGGTGGTATGTGATTAGCTTAAGAAGATGCTAATATACCGCGGGCGCTTACGGACTGCGCCTTTGGTATTAAGCTTGATTTAAGTTTTCGCTATTTATGTGTTTTAGTTAATATTATTAGTTATTAGTATTTGGGGTTTAACTAAGTGTATTTTATAATTTTAATTATATGAGTATATGTTTTTCTGTTATGGTTTAGCTTACGTGTTATTGAATTTTTTCAGGTTTTGGGTTTCAAAGTAAGCATTATAAGGCTTGTGTTATGGGATACTAGGGTAACGGATAGAATACATATTGTGTACATACATAAGTATATTTGGAGTACAAATGCTCGTATTCATCACACAAACATCTGCTAGTATCCCAAAAATGATTAAACTAAATCAAAATAAAAACATTAAAGAGAAATTAAGTGTACGCTCGCGAGCTATACTGATTGCTGTCAAGCGTCTCGATGCATCGCAAACTATATGCTGAACAGCCTTTGATTTGTGAAAGAAAACCGACACCGACGCCGATCACGGACAAACACAAATATCTCACGACACTTTAAACAGCTAAACCCCTCCTTGGCTGATTACAGTCTGTTCGCCAAGCGTGTGGCGGCACCATTACGGTACATTGTTGGTTATGTGCTTTTCTTGTTCAACGTACGAAAAATATTTTGATAAGGAAACTATATTAAACATGCTGTTTCTTAAATTCGGTAACAATATTGCCAACGTCCATACCACGTTGAATACACCGGTTCTCGTCCGATCACCGAAGTTAAGCAACGTCGGGCGCGGTCAGTACTTGGATGGGTGACCGCCTGGGAACACCGCGTGATGTTGGCTTTTTGAGTTTTTGTTCATGTTAGAAATTAATATTTTTTTAACCGCAGAATCTACAATTACCTAGGTATAAAAAACATTTAAAGCTGATTTTAATTTCATGATACCTTTTGCCGGCTCTCTAGAAGAGTTAAGCAAGTTTTGCTACTGCTCACTAGATGGTGCTGATAAACCGTAGATTGTGTAGATGGTGAATTTGTAACATGTTGGCGTTTTAATTTTTCTTTTAAAACGTAGCTAAAGATTATGAATTATTATGAACTACTATATTAAACAAAATATGGAAATAGTTAGTTTTAGTCCCGGGAAAGAACGTAGGATAGTTGATATCCAATGCACATGTAGATATGTATTATTCACCAGTCGCCACACTACACTATGCGTATATTAGGGCTTGATTTAAGGTACGTCTGCAGGATCATCCGGGTGATCCCTGCCGTGGAGCCCCGGCTAGGCCGGGAAGCTGTTAGGTGCGGAGACACTGCGAAATCCCTCAACGGGCTCTCTTGCGCTTTCGTACTTAACTGTGTAGTTAGAGGATATTCGCAGGATCTTTTAGTGGATAGTATGCCGTAAGCCGCGCGGACTGCTTAACGGCTTCTCCGTTTCGCACCCGTGAGACTTGCGTCAGGTTAGATGAGAAGGTAAGGCAAGCGGCGACTCATAACTGGACCTCGCTGTTACGCCTGGAGGGTGAGCGGTAGATCGGGGAGTTGGTTTACCTGGTAGGTACGGGAGCTGGTCGGCTGGCTAGCCGCTCGGACTGTGGTCCGTGGGACTAGTCAGGTGACGCTGTGAACGGAGAAGCCCAGGATCGGCTGAAGCGGGTGCGGGCCGGGCTGCTGGTCGGAGGCGGGGTGGTTTAACGTATGCTACGCTTGCGTGAGTGCATTTCAAAGTATACCCGCACCGATTAGCGGCCTTCGGGCTGTTGTTGCCGCTTCCGAATGCACCACGCAATTACCTGCGTCGCGAGGGTTTGTTAACAGCAAACCAACGTGGCGTTGGTCATTGTCGTGGATAAAATGCATTCTTTCTCCACGTCATCGAAAAAAAAGGCGGGGCTTAAGCCCAGATTCCCCCACAAGATAGGGGTCGGACGACGGGCGAGGGGGTTTTGCAAATAATAAATATTCCGGCCCAGATTCATGGGCCTTCACACCT